TTTCTCGTTGTCGAGATCAGCCACAGTGCGGCGGTGACATTTCTCAGCCAACAGCAGCTGCTCCAGCATCCGTCTGTACGTCTCCTTCTGTTTGTCCTCCAGACGGTCCAACTGACGAGGACACAGCCACGTTACCCTCAGTGTGTGTGTGTGTGTGTGTGTGTGTGTGTGAGACAATAATGAGCATGAGATTTATTCTGAATATTTTCACGCTCAGTCTTTTCACTGCAGAACAAATTAGATTCTATGAAATGTCTGTTTTCTTCTATTTGTTTGTTTCTGGAGCTGAAACGATGCAGGTTCAACACGTTGGAGGTGATTTCACACTTTACGTGAGTGAAGCTCAACATCAGAATAAACTCGGAGGCTCTGAAGTTCAAACAAGAACAGATGAAAACAGGAAACTGTCGTCCAATCAGAGACGATGCTTCTTCTGGTTTTCATCTGGTGAGTTTCTCTTTTGTTGGGATTTGAACTTCAAGGCCACCGTACATTTTTCATTTGAAAACCGTTTGAACAAGTTTTTGATAGAAATTCCAAACTGACATGAAGTAGTTGTCGAAGTATAATTTCTCGACAGTGGACTCGTCAGAACTGTTCCTCTACACAAACACAGAGGAATCGAATCATCTGTGATGCAACGTTTACGCAGCGTCTCGTATTTCTCCTTCAGGATTAAAAACTTCTGCACCGGAAACTTTTTCCTTTTTCTTTAAAACAACATTTACACTTGAGAAATAAAACGTTTAATTTCATGGGTCAATATAAAGTCATCTTAACTTCCTTGAAGGTTTTTAGAAGATTCAATTATAGAAGAAACGTTTCTGAGTCAGTTATTAAGTAAAAATCTGAGCGACATGAGCAGCAGCTGTCACTATCTCTCCTCTGTTCCTAACCACGTGCTCCCTCCATCACCTCAGCCATGGGTTTCTCGTAGACGTCCTCTGTGCCGCGGTGGCCGTGGCCGAGCAGTCCGTCTCTCTGCAGCGCCTGCAGGGGTTTGCTGGGGTTGGCCGAACCGTAGTGAGCCTCCAGAGTCTCCGGCCTGGTCCTGTCCGACTTCAGGAGGCCGATCATGTCCTCTCTGGCCTGAGGGGACACAACAGGTCTTAATCTACACTCGTCACTCACGAGACAAGGGAACAGCAACGTGAAACAGGTTTGTGATGAAACTGAAAACTGTGAGAAGCAGCTGATGAACAGTTTGAACGTCATGTGAATGTGAAGCTGCTTCACGTTGACCTCTAGTCCTGCTTGTCCCAGCAGAGGGAGCTGTTCCCCTCAGTCTTTAAAGGCCTCAAACACAAAGTCTCTGCACAAGCGTGACGAAACCTGGAGCACGACATCGCCTGCTTCAAACATTCAGGCTGAAGAAACAGGATGTTTGGTGTAAATACAGTTTCCTCCATTTCATTATCATGTGAAGAAGCAGCAGGAGTCTGTCCAGGAACGTTTCAATGAACATTTCTTCATCCTGCAGCAAAACCCTCTTTATTTCAATATCATGCATTTAACATGTGTATATTTAGTGTTTTCATGTGTCGCTCTATTTGACGTCCCTCTCAGAATAATGTCTCCCTGGGTGCGTTGCTAATGGAAAATATTCAACACGCCCAAACAGACGAGCGGCAGCAGCTTCCTGTCTCTCCGCAGAGCAGATTATAAATGTGGCTCCATTAGAAAATCATTATCAGAGAGGAGCCGGCGTCTGTTTCCACTCGAGTTACAACCGATAAGAACCAATCAGGAGGAGAATCTCAGCTCTACTTCATCCAGAGGTTTTAAAGGTTAAATCTGTCGTCAGAAGAACTGAACCCCTTTATTTTGGCGACTTCACTTTTTGAGTTGAGTATAAAAACATTTAGTTTCAGGAGTTAAAAGAATCAGAAGTTGACAGAAATCACAGATGAATGAATCTTTGTTCTCACCTGAACTTCTCCCTCCATGATTCCCAGCAGGTGGAGCAGGTCCTTCTTGGACAGATCCAGAGTTGTCTTCTTGCTGCTCTCTGCAGATCTCTGAGGTTTCCTGGACACCCCCGTCCTCCCGTCCTTCATCTTCCTCTTCATCAGCTCCGGTGTGTTTTCCTCCTCCTCCTCCTCCACCTGCTCCTCCTGCTGCTGCTGCTTGATGAACCCTTTCGTGGGTTGGATGTGTTCGTCTTCTGGACCCATGGTGCAGTTCCTGGATCTCATCTTTATTCTTCAGCCTGCGAGAAGAACAGATGAGGCAGTGATGTCATTATTACATCAGGTTTGGAGTCAGAGCACAAACTTTAAGATTTGGAAATGTTCCCTGTTGTTGTGTTTATTCTGGGAACATTTAAAACAGAGAAGGAGTTCGTCATATTTCATCATCATCCCTCGTCTTCTCTCATTTTTAAAGCAGCACATGAACCTGCTGCGATGACGTCATCGCTCAGGAGTGAGAGGAATCAAACGTCCACATGGTCTATTTGACAGTTTGATCATGATTCAGGTGAATCAAGTCAAGTGTGGGTTCTCCTGCGACGCTGCATCATCAGTGAGCTCCTGAACAAACAGTGATGAGAGCAGCAGCTGTGAAGCTCGACGCCGTCACACAGAAAACAACCAGTCACAGGCCATCGGATCTGAAAGAGGCCAAAGTTCCCAGAGGCTGCAGCTCTGGATGAAAGCAGCCTGTGACTCAGCCAGAGAAAATCCTGGCAGCCGAGCGGCAGCGACCACATTAGCCCTGCCTGTTATTAATAGTTGTTTCAGAGCTGCCCCCTTTCCTCTGTTTGTGACGGTCAGTGAGCTGGACGAGGAGCCGGAGGAGCAGGAGGAGCCGGAGGAGCAGGAGGGGGAAACGTGAAGCTGAGATGATCCTGATGCTGCAGCAGGAGGTTTGAGAGCCGCCCAGCATCATCTCTATTTACTGTAAATACACACGTGAAATAACAGGATGTCACAAAACGTCCTACAACGTTGTGGCCAAAAGTATGTGGACATGTTATACTTTAGAGGGTGGAAGACACATTGAAATCAGAGATTTATATATATATGAATATTATTTTATATAAATGTATTGATGCTCATGCTTCATCAAATCTGATATTAATAATAATAATTCTCCTGGTGAAGACTGTGCTGTTGTTTTAATGTATGTTTGATTAAATCATTGTTTCACAGCAAATTAAACTTGAAGCTCGTCTGTGTTTTTAAATCATCTCTATAAATTCATCTCTTTTTCTTTGTCATTCATTTTAAGTTAAATTCTATTCGTTAGCTTCTTGTCTATGAGGTTTTGTGTTCTTGTTTTTATTCGTCCTGTTTATAAAAGTGTCTGTTTCTATAAAGTTATAATTATTGTTGTTATAACCATATATGTATTATTCTGAGGCAGAAACCTACAGTATTAAACTGATGCCTACTCATTCATGCATCATTATTAATAATCCAGTATTTAGTTGTTAATCGTATTCTGAGGGTTTGACCAGTTTAATGATGAAGTGACCTCTGCAGTCATGTTAATGAAACATCGGTGGTTTGTGTCAACACGTCTTTCCTCTGCAGCAAATGTGAATTAACCCAAAACACAAGAGGACCAATACATGTCAGATTGTGTCTCTCTCGTCCTGGAGATATTTCTGGAGACGTGATGAGGCTAAACGTGTCTCTGTGATTCACGCCCCAGACAGCTGTGCTCCACGCTCGACACACGAGAGGGGACGAGGCGTGGAGGAGGCGTGTTGGCAGCAGTGGTTAGACGGATCATCCAATAACGAGAGGGTCACAGGTCTGAAACCAGGATCAACGTGACGAGTTGTGACCAAATGAGATATATTGTCTCTGTGCAGAAAAGTCTTTTTAAAACCTGAATCGTAGAATTGTGTTATTTTTCTTTCCAGATAAAATGTTTTCAAATCTGTTTATTCCAGAAGAAAGTTCACGTTTCAGTGTGTTGAACACGCTTCCACACTAACGTCACAATCCCAACGTGCTCTGATCACAACACATTGTTAAACTTCCAGCACCAGTTCAATATAAACATATCTCACACTGCAGGATGAAAATAAAAGAATCCTCGGGCAGATGGACTTTGATGGGAATTTGATGATGAGTTCAAATATTTATTTCTGTGGCGTTCGGAGTCTGAAGAGTTTTTATTCTGCTGCACAGCCTCGGTGGAAACGCGACAAACAGCTGATCTGTGTGTGTGAGATGGATCCCTGCAGCTGTTTGTTTGGTGAAATCTTAACTGGGTATTTTTAGGGTCTCCCCTCGCTGGTGTCTACAGAGTCCAACAAAAGTTTCAAGGCTATCACTTTATAAGTCATCAGCAGCCCCTCGGATTCCTGAGCCACACATTCACTTCTCAGCTGCAGCGCTCGTCCCCCCCCACAACAACACATGTTGTAAATAAACAGCCGCTGACGGTTTCTGGGAAGAAACAACACGTCGGTAACTAAACAGAGGTCACATCCCCCGATGGACGACAAGAGGAGATCCGTCCCTGACGTCCACGAACAAGAGATATTCTCCAGAGGCCGATTCTAAAAAGACTTGACTGTAAATGTTTCTGTTGGGTACAGATGACTTTCATAGATACAAACTGCTTTGGAAGTGACAGCAGCTGATTCTTCAACCTGTTTTTCATGATTTCGACATGTCAGGTTTAAATGTGACCATACAAGGCAGCGGTCAGGAGGTCTGGTCTAACTCCCTGTGACGAGGAAAGTAGAGTCGGTCATCTGTGCCACAGGAGGCCGTCAGATACACAGAGGAATGACTGCTCCAGGAGAAAACTGGATCAAGCCCATTTTCCATTTCCTGATACCTCATCACCTGTTGATGAAGTGATATCGAGCAAATGTGTTCACAGATACTTGGCGATACGTCTCCTGCAGTTCCAGAGCAGCATTAGCTTCTCCACCAACCTCTCAGCTCAGTGCGTTGAGTTCACTGACATCTTTTAAAAACCTTCCCTGTGGTCAAACTGAACTTTGACGAGTTTCATCCACCTGCATGAAGAACATTAGGATGAAAACACAGAAGCGTGTTCTGCTCCACGCGTGTCACAGTGTGAACTGCTGAGCGAGGTTCAGTGTCATCAGTGTCTGGTTCCATGACTCCATGGAAACCACTCGACGTCGCCGGCTGGAATAAACTGAGCAGTGCTTGACTAATATCAGGATTTCAAGCACCGCTGCTTGAAATAGTGACACTTCCAGTTGCGGCTTGAGCGTCGCTACGGGCTCACATCACCATCTTTAGTGTTACTGCAACGTCAGAAACAAAAGGAACTCAAGTGTTGAACTGAGATTTAAGAACCTTGTTCCTCCTGCCTCGCTGAAGTTCACCTTTAAGAGATGAAGGGATCTGCTGTGACCTTTGACCTCCCAGAGATTCTCTGGACTTAAAACTCTCAGGTACTTTATGGATTCAGATTTGAACGTGATACTACATCCAACCCTGAACGTCTCTGATCGTAGAGAGAACCGCTCTGAACAGGCTACACAGTTCATTTCCTACGAGACGCAGGACTAATCCCAGTGTCCTGCTGCTGAAACCACCTGCCTCCGTACGTGGAGCTCTGACAGCTCCAAATATAGAAACATGAAAATGTTTTAATTCAGCCGAAAGTGGGTCAGAGGTTTGGACTTGATGCAGACAGGTGGTGTTAGAGAGCTGGAGACATGAAGCTCCTCAGGAGTTTCATCGAGGTCGAGCAGTTCAACCTCTCACATCCGCTGCAGATCCACAGATTCACCAGAATCACAATTTATCTCAACCCAGCTGTTATCGAGGCTCGGTGGGAGAATGACCGGTGTCTGTGCTGTTTGCATGAAAACAATAAAACAATAAAACAGAGAAATACAATTTAAATACTCGAAATATGAAGGAATATTTGTCGGTTGAGACAAAGCAGGTATTTCAACTCCCGCTGGTTTTGCTCAAGAGCTCTAATCAGCAGTGACCAGTCCAGAGAAACTGACATCACCGGGCAGCAGCCAAGTCTCACATGCCTCCTGAATGGAATGAGCATGAAGTCACTTCCCTCATAAAGTGATAGAGGGAGGAGGCGTGGGGGACGAGGGGGGGGGGGTGAGTCCACTTCTCATTCTACGTCAGTTTTTACATTTACGAGCCGGTTAGCTCCCGAACACGATTCATCTGAAGTGGTCGCTGGTCAAACCCAGCAGCTGTTTAACGTGAGAGTCATGAGATCAACTCAGAACGTCCAATCAGAGGCCTCACAGAGGACGCCCATTCATCCTGCAGGACTTTAACAAGCAATAAAATCAGAGACGCTGGTGAGGAGAGCGTGAAACGTCTCAACATCACAGCAGGAGGAGCTCGAATTAAAGCTGAGCATTCATCCAACACACCTCAGACCACAATCGACTCAGTCTCTTACGCCGAGACGTGTCCTAATACGTTTTTGATTTGTGCTGCAGTCGAATCGTCCGTCCACAGTAGCTAACCTCTGACCTCAAACCTCAAACACGTCTGAATGAATGTGGTTGTTGCTGTTAATGGTCGTCATGGCAACAAAAACTCCTCAAGTCAAGGTGATAAAAGTTCAGCTGAAGATTAATGAGGCTTCAAAAATCAGTTTGATCATTTTATTTCTGTGTTTAGCTGCAGCGGAGGGTTCCATCTCTTGTTCTGGACTTTTATTATTTCTTCATCTCGACTTTAACGACAGCATGAATCCATGGACGTGGTGACAGTCCAGGCCGCTGCTGCTGCTGCTGCGTGTTAAACACCACCCGTGGTTTGAGCGGCTCAAAATCCATCGGAACGTGGGGCAACCAGCGTTAATAAGCCGGTGCCTGGGCCCCCGAGCTGACAGGGGCCCCCCGGGAACGCCTGATCGACCGGCGACAATGGAGAGTTTCGATTACGACATCACGTCGTTCCCATCGTTATCCATCACGATGTCATCAGTGTTTTTTTATGTGTCCCTCCTCGCAGCAGAAAACGTCCCCTAAACAAACGCAGGGCTCCTCAGGTCCCTGTTATGTTGTCATGGGAACTGCAGCTGCTGTTATGAAACCAAACTCGAGGGCAGACGCTGTTGAACGTCCCCGTCCGCCTCAGATCACTGGGCTGAATTAGAAGAGTGATCTCATGGCTGTTATCATTTGGCCTTGAGCTGCCGCTGGGAGACACAGGAACAATATCACAAACTGACAGAATCAACCCAAACAAAGAGTTTCTGAGGCGACACAGAGCGAAACACTAACGAGGGAATGTTTTCTGGAAGAAACGAGGAGGTCTGACCGATCACAGGAAGCAGAGACCGCATTAAACAATAGAAGAAGAAGAGGAAGCAGCTGCAGTCTTCGCCGTCCTTGAACCACAAGGACGTTCCTGTGGTGCATTTGAACTAGTGAAGGTACTGTAGTACTGTGGAGTACTGTAGTACTGTGGAGTAACTGTGGAGTACTGTAGTACTGTGGAGTACTGTAGTACTGTGGAGCAACTGTGGAGTACTGTAGTACTGTGGAGTACTGTAGTACTGTGGAGTACTCATGTCCTCCAATCAAACAGAAAGACTACTACCCCCCCCACTGACAACACGCCCACGTCAGACGCTGTCTACAAACCAATCAGAGTCAAGTACAGGTAGACGACGCCCAAATTCAATCCTGATTAACGACTTTGATCCTCGTAAATCAAGTTTCTTATTCAAGCGAAAATGTCTCGAGGATTTGAAACCGTGTCGATGAATTCTGTCCCGAGACATTCTGCCGACAGACGAGTCCGACAAACAAACTTTTAACATTGAAGAGAATTAAAAACATCTTTGTGATGAACGAATGTTCAGTTCAATCGTTGGCAGGTGCTTCTGGTCCGAGTTCCTGCTGCTCGCTCAGAAAAGGTTGGAAATAACTGGTGCAGTGAAAACAGTGGAGGGGAAAAGTGAAGCTATTAATGGAGCGCTGGTCTCAGGAGACGTGGGCAGAGCAGTGCATGCTGGGTATGATAACACAGACGAGGTCGAGCCAGAGCGCTCCTCTGTTTATTGTTTGG